GGATTTAGGGTTTGGGGGTTTAGGGTTTAGGATTTAGGGTTTGGGGGTTTAGGGTTTAGGGTTTAGGACTTAGTTTGGGGGTTTAGGGTTTAGGATTTAGGGTTTGGGGGTTTAGGGTTTAGGATATGCCTACACAGTCTCGCTGGAACCTTGATTCTGAAACCCTATGCCAAGAAGTGATGGATCCAGATACCCTACACATCCTGCGTCGCATACACTTGGCAAACCCTATTAACCCCACAAATCCTGCAAGCCCTATGTTCCCAAAGCTCTACATGCGTAGTATTTTGTATTGGGGATACTCGGGTATCAACTATAGAGTGAGAGTATGTCTTCCTGTGGGGATATAGTACAGTATTTGAATTACAGAGTGTAATCTTACTGGGTTCAACCACCNNACCACCAAAAAACGCTGCTCACATGAAGTAGTTTCCTCCCCCAGTCTCGTTGCCCTAACCCTAAACCCTAAACCCTCCTCCCTCAGTCCCATTGCCATGGGACCCGTAGAGCATCTGCGCGATGGCGGTAGCAACGGGCAACAATGCCCCAGGCCGGCTCCACGGTTTTGGGGTTTGAGTCGAGGGTTTAAGAGTTGTAGTTGAGGGTCTTTGGGGGCTTTCCATTTTTTCAAGATTTTCAAGATTTTCAAGGTTTCGAATATTTTGCAAGTTGAATTAGGATTTGTAAGTTGAGGATCTTGTTTTGTGCTTTGGGGTTTGGTGTTGTGTTGCGAGGTGCTTTGGCCATGGGTTGTCTTTTGGATTTCGGTTTGTGACTGGCGACGTGCTTTGTGTGGTGGGTTTTGGGAGGGTTGATGTAGTAGGCGGCTTGAGAAATGGGGTGAAAGTTTAGGGTTTAGTGTTTAGGGTTTCTTTTTGGTGGTATTGAGTGTGAGGTCTGGGTTCAGCACTTGCTTGCTCATAGACCCTTATGAGGCGTTGTTTGGATTCCGCTTTTGGTGTTCTAGACCCCCTTAAGTACATAGAATATTGCTTGAGGTATATCATAATAAGATCCCCATATAGTCCATATTCTATCTACTCAAGGGGGAATATAGCCCCTATAAATCCTAACCCTCAATAGTAGTTTCCATTTTGTTTTCCACGCTCCCAATATCTCCCCAATATAACTATATCTACATAAAGGGGACCATAAGTTATGGCGGTGCAGTCTGGGATCCCTTAATGATGCCCAGGTACGATCATGGTCCTTTTCGGCATTTTGGCACAGGTAGAGGTGCAGTAGGGGCAAAACATCGGCAACTGTGATAACTTCATTGCACGATAACCCGAATCACCTGTCTTCGTTGTACCGACCTTTCTGTGCGACATGAATAGGATGAACACATAGCTCAGTTCAAACTCGCCGCGATCTTGACATGCTAGCTGAACTCCAAGACCAGCATGCGGACCCCCGCCAAAGTCTGTCTATGAATTAGGGATCAGGGGGCCCTTTTCCCTGAACCCAAGGCCTGCAGCCCAGAACTCTCAAGCCTGATTAAGCCCTTGAGCCGGCTTGCAATGTTTTTTGTAGGGTCATCAAATCGGTAAACCTAACCCCTAAACTTTGCAGTGAACCCCAAAACCCCAAGCCCAAAGTCCTAGTCTATAGCCCATTCCCCTAAACCCTAAACCCTAAAACCCTAAGCCCAAGCCCTCAACCCTGAAGCTGCTATAGTTTGCAGGGCTACCCCAGCCAGTCTTCGAGTCACTTCTTCAGCGAATCGAAGGCCCTATTTTAGGGTTTAGGGTCTAGGGAAGCCTTAGGGCTTACCTGTAACCTCTCATAACCTCATTTACATACAGTTTTATGGATTAGACCTACTAAGTAATCATAATTACTATTGAGTTGTAGGTAATTGGAGTCGCAGGTAATATTGAGGACCTTGGCTCAGGTAAAGCTCAGGTAAACATTTAGGTATTCGTGTATTGGGGGGGGGTTGAACAATTTGGGTTTGGGACTTGGGGCTTCGCGTTCATTACTTGGGGTTAAGGGTTTAGGGTATGTTCGGGCCTGAACCCTGAACCGGTTCAGGTTCTGGGGTTACTGCACAATTGCACCTGACCTCGGTCCAAATCCGCATGTCCCTGCTTCCCGGAAATGAATGTTACGAACTGGGCGAGATACTTGCGGTAGACTGCAGAAAGTTGGACCCTAAACCGGAAACCCTAACCCGCCCCCGAAAGAGGCATAGCATAGGTCATCGGACTAAACGGCATCATTGCCTTTAGGTACTTTGGGCCCAAATGATCTACTCCTGAACCCTACACATCCCTAAACCACATGTCCTTAATTTCAAAATTCTTAACTCAAAACAGTGATGGCCTAAATCCCAAGCTCTAACCCTAAACCGTAAACGACCATGCGGGTACCTGGACCCTGAGGCCAAATTGTTGGCCATCGTCCTTGTTAAGGTATAGGACTGTTCGAGCAAATCTTGAGTTTAAGTAGCAGGATGTGGGGTCTGGAGTCTTTGAAAGTATGCAAGCTGCAACACATGTGCTTGAAAGGGGTTAGGTTCTACCTAAGCCCTTGAAGTAAGTAACATCATGGCCCAATACCCCTTAACAAAGAAACCCAACATGCTGCTGTTGTACGTATTTTTGGGGGTTCCGGTAGAATTCTGTCTCAAGGTGGCATCATACCATGCGTGCAAATTACCTGGTGACAGAGCCAGGTCTGCAAAGCCTGAAGTTTGACTTTAGGTTGGGTACTTCCCCCCCCCCCAGCAACAGTCTCTATTAGGGGTCCTATTAAGGGCTATATACAACCATAGTATAGTTATTATCCAACTGTTACTGAGGGGGGGGCAGTACCCAACCTTTAGGCTTTAAGGAAAAATGTCGATATTATGGTCCTAGCTTCTGTGTGAGCACCCATGGTTTGGGTACCACACATAAAAATGAGGTTTGTAATAGTCTGGGCCCCAACAGTAGCCACTCTCCGGAGATGGAGATCTGATGTTTGCTCACGAGTTAAATGCAAAAAGCATGAGACAACAGGCGACTGGCAGTTCATGCTGGATTGTCGCGATTCCTATGCAAAACATCGCTTTAGCTTCTACTGGTAGTTGAGTGCGGATGTCCCAACTTCACTTGATTGTCTTTATCCCGGGGGCTGTTTTGCAGCCATGTTCGGGCACAGGAACCTTCTTAACGCCAGCCCAAATCTAACTCCTCAACCCCTACACCCCAAAGGGTCAATCTAACTCCTCAACCCCCAGACATGTTTCTGAGGCGATCTTTTGGCCGCCATCAAGGCGGCGCCTGGCTACAGCCTCCTCTACGAGCCCAGCGAGGCGGCTTGCGTCTCCCTGCTGCCCCAGTAATCCCTGTTACCCTAGGGTTTAGGGTTTAGGGTTTAGGGCCCAGTTACCTACATATTGGGTTCTTGTCCTTAAGTCCATATATAAATTTATACTATCTATAACCCGAGGGCCTACTATATGGGTACCTGGGCTTCTAGGGTTAGGTAGGGTTTAGTGTTTGGGAGTTCAGGGGTTTGAGCTGAATTCAGAGTGCAACTTGTCAGCCATTGGAGTATACAATATTGTGCACATAATTAAGTCCCATGATAACTCCAGCTACTAGTGTTGTTAACTAACCTGCCTTAATTATGTGATTTGTGGGGCTTTTGAGGGCGCTCGAGCTGCGGACCGGTGAGGCACAAAAAAGCAACAAACCCAAAAGGAATCACATCAAAGCTTCTGGGTAGGGTTCCAAGTTCCTGTGATCACAAAAAGATTTGATGGTCAAAGGCCTCAACACCTGGCGTGCTACTATGCAATCTCAGGCGACAGCCAGGGTTTAGGGTTTTAGGAGAACGCACCACTACACCAATGGGGTGGAGTTTGAGAACTGCTGTGAACGTCAACGCGTCACGCTTCTCGTCACCTAGAACCCTGAGCACGGACGTCTCTATTCTCAGCCCTGCGCCTCTGCCCAAGCCTCGACATCCCACAACCCTAAAGCCTAAACTCCTAAACACTAAGCCCTCAACCCCTCCATAGGCTGCAATGACATCCTCACATACCCATCTCTCCAATGCCTAAGTTCCCCTAAAGCCGGCAGAAACACAAGCATACATCGCTTAGGCATAGGGGTCATAAGAGCCCATCATCCCCTAAACCTTGAAACTCTTACTGCATGCAGTCAAACCTCAATGCGAAGCACAAAGCCGCAAACTAGACAACGAATCTTAGCACCAGCTCTACAGCGTTATCCGCCCCAAACCCCCCATCGCTCAACTCTAAACCCTGAGGGCTAAACCCGAACCCTAAGCTCTCAGCCCAACACCCTAACCCCTAAACCCTAAACCCCTAGCCCCCAAAACCCAAAACCCTGAACCACTTCAACCTCACTATGCTGGGCAAGGTTTGGGTGTAGTCTTGCGGGTTCAGGGTTGGTGCTGTCCTTATCTTCTCGCTGCATAACTCATAATGGCCTAGTTTTGGGCTTCGGCTTTAGGGTTTAGGGTTTTGAGCTTAGTCCCTGTGTATAACGCGCCGCAAAACAGCCACCCAGCCAAGGCAAGCACCGAGATATCACTTTCACCCGAAAATCCGAACTCCTGAGCCCAAAGCCCAAGTCCTTGCACCCTAAACGCAAGGCCCTGAACCCTAAACTTCAAACCCTCAACTCCGAACGCTTCAGCCCCATTTCAAGTCCCTGAACTGAACAACTGAACCGACATTACACCGCAAACCCTTAACCCTGAACGCCTAAAGCCTCGAACAGCAACTATACCTAGTGGACTTAGGGAAAGGGGAACCCAATGCCAAATCTTTGTTTTCCTCCCCCACCCTAAACCCTGAACCCTAAACCCTATAGTAAGCCCTATCAACCATTCCCACACTACCCAACTTCTTGTATTTATACTAAAGCAACTCCGCGCACTTTAACTAAACATGTTCCCTATAAGGGACCTTCTATATTTTTGGGGATAAACTTGCTATTAGGGGTAGGGGGGTCCTTAATGTTCGCAACCCTAAGCCCTAAGCCCCCAAACCTTAAACCCCAAATCCCAAACTCCTGAACCCGAAGCCCTAAAGCAGCACAATATTTTGGAGGAATCTCGCACCACTTGCACATTGTAGTATCCATGGCAGACCCCAAGGGTCCGTGCATGTATCTAATACTTGGATCCTTGGAATTATGGTAGAAGCAAATGTAGTATAGGTTCTAAAGTTTGGGTAAGTATATCTACATATTGAACAGTTCTCTACAGCGCCTTACCCTATTCTGTACGAGTAAATGCATATTCTATATGTATATAGAGAGAGGGAGAGCCCTTCCCCTACTCCGTAGCATGGCTTGAGATGTTATGCCGTCCGACCAACCCCCCTGTGCATAGCTTGTGGTTGGCAGGATGCAACTGTGTCAAGTCTTGTTAGATCATCGTCAGATGCTGTTCATGATTCGGGTTCGCCCTCGGCCGCCCAAACACACGCACAACAACCTGAATCCTGTTATTCTGGCGTTGATATCAGTATATGTTTTGGGAAGGTCTAGGTGGAACTCCATGCTTGATAGGAGCTCCTCCGATACTGCAGAGATCTCTTGGCCGGCGGCAAGAGTGGCATCTTTGCATGCAAAGCTGGATTTCTGTTAGGAGTTTGAACCAAGTTAAAGTGGTACTAATATGTAGCCAAGCAGTAGGCTTTGCTCATTTTGACGATTTGTTTTCCGTTCCGCAATAGCAACCAGAAAGTTCTGTGTGGGCACCATTGTTTTGATTCACTTGTGGCCAGAGTACAGCACTAGCCATCCCCTGTGTAGCTGTGGGCGCACTACACATTTTTTGTTGGGGGCTCTGGCTACACGGCAGCTAAGCCTAAGTTCTGACAGAGTTTGAGTAACACTGACGCCGGCTGATATTCACAGTATTGTTCTCCTTGCTGCCAGTGTTGTTTAACTGTGCTTACTGGAGCGCAGTTACCATGTAGGGACGTGACACAAGCCTTCTGTACCCCTTATATAGTTCTCCAAGGTCCCCTTTACCCCGCCTATGTCTTTCCCCCAATGGGAAACTCCCCTCCTTAAGTTCTTCCCATTGTTGCCAGTATCCCTTCAATTGCTGGTAGAAGCAATACACCCTAAACAGTACTGTCATGCAGTCACGATAAGGACTTCCCTCAGAAAGGGGCCTACGATTCTTTGAACGCGTATCTGAGATCGATAGACAAGACCCTGCATGACTTTATGTATGTAATACTGAGGGCTTCGGGTTTAGGATAAGGATTCGGGAGCAATCAGCGTACTATAGCATAGGGCGTATGTCCTTCGGCTGTGTGATAGCAGTCGCATAGCAAAAGCAGCCCATGCTCATGCTGCGATCAAGGCAATTCAGTCAAGGACTGGCGCTGTGCTCCTCATCTGCATCTGCAAGCCCTACCCAGACCCAAAACGGATCTTGAAATTCAACCTCCTGGAAAATATGGGAAGTTAAGTGTGATCATGGGTGGATAGGGATCTATTTTTGATTTTTCCAGTGGTCTCGGTAGGGGTCCAAGTAGCCAACAATCAGCTATGTACTTCCTTTGAGTTCCAAGCTGAGGGTTGTGGGTCTAACCCTAGACCGCATGATCCAAGTACCCAGGAATCACGGATTACCTCCGAAAATTCTATTACAAGGACTGTTATCAACATCCCAGGCACGAAGTGACTCGAACTCATAAAGGTCACGCGTTTCAATAGGCTTGCTTGTACCCTGCCCAAAATCAATCAGAAATCCCTCATGGATGATTTATGGGTCCGCAGTATCATACGGCACCATAGATGACAATTATCGTGACAGCCCTCCATGTAATAGATGCTTTTCTGCATTTGGCAACGTGCAACATATTAGGTTGCAGGTTTTCTTGGGGAAGTGTATCATGAGAGAAATCTATAACCCTAAGGCTCCATGGACTCAAATAATAGCGTTTTGGGGCACAAATACCATTGATCTCGGTCCCCAAAGCCCTGTTATTTGGGACCTTGGAACCTTAGGGTAATGTATATAGCAAAAAATATCCGAAGAATACAGCTTCTGGCCCGTAGGCTAACCTATCGTAAATTCTTCTGCAACTGTTTACTTGAGAGCACGCTTCTTTTTACGTCTGGGTGATTCCCTTCTGCTTTTTCAATCTTGGGCCTAGGATTATGAAACTTTTAGTGGGGAAGTTACCAGCTGGGTGCGGATTTCGGCTTTTGGAATTGAGGATTCAGAAACCCTAAACCCTGAATCCTGAAGCGGGTGTTCAGGATTGAGTCTAAACCCTACACCCTAAGCCCTAAGCCCTACACCCTAAAACCTAAACGCCAAACCCTAAATCCAAAACCCTAAACCTTAAAGTCTCTATTGGGGATTCAGGCTTGAAAGCCTGGAATTTTTAGCATGCGTACTTTGCGTGGCACAGCGGCTACTCGGTTTAGGGTTTCGGCTGCAGATATTATATGGGGTTTAGTCTTGAAGGTTCAGCGTTTAGGGTCTAGGGGTGTAGAGTTCAGGGTTAAGGGCTTATAATATGTGAAATCAACGATCCAAGAAACGCAAAAACAAGAATCACGACCCATACTGAAGATCCGCATCGTTGTCCAGGTGATGAACAAGCGCATCGCGCTGTCTTACAAAGAGAAGCCACAGGAGCTCTATCTACTTTCATTTCAATGTCCCTTGTCGGAGGTACCCTACATGGGGTCTCAGGGGAACCCTGTATCATGGGCACATCCTAATCCTTCATCCTACTGGGGGTTAGCAGAGAATTAGAAAATATCATCCCCAACCCAAATTCCAAAATGGAAAATTACAGATATTCCCTTATTCCTTACCAGCCTCCAGCAAGTCATTACCTTGTGAACGCTGGCGCATTGACCCTGCCTTGGCTCTTTGACTGCCAATCGTTTTAGGATTAAGGATTTAGGATTCAGGGTTTAGGGTTTAAAGTTTAGGGTCCTGGATTTAGGATTTAGGGTTTAGAGTTCCGGGTGTAGGGCTCTTGTGAAGGATTAGATGCGGCTGCTTTTCGCGTTTCCCCAAACTAAGGTGGCCCTGTGGAACTTTAGGGATGTATGGGGGTAATGGGCTGTGGGGACTTAGGGTTAGGGGCTCTTTAGGATTTAGGGCATAGGGCCTAGGGTCGTGGAAACTTTGGGATGGAGACCTAAAGCCTAAACCCTGACGCGAAGTCTAGACCCGAAGCGCTAGTTTCACAAGCCATCGGAAAGGTGCTTGGTATGTAGAAGGCAAGTCAATACCTAACCCTAAGGGTCCAACTACCTAATAATCATATACTTGCCCAAAACCTGTACTAAAATCAATATTACCCAAAACCCAAGGACCTAATTATTGGGTACATGGACCCTTAGGGTAATGGAGATAGTCCCAAAGTCCAAAGACTAGGGATCCCATGACCCAAAAGTAGTTAAGGGTTTAGGGTTTAGGGCAAAGTAGGTAGCATTTCTCGACTTTAGGGCCTAAAGTGGGCCCTAGACCCCAAACCCTGCACAGACTTTGATCCACAGGGTTTTGGGTTTCGGGTATAGGGTTCAGGCCCCAAGCTCAGCGAGCCTGAGCTTCATCCTTCGATGACGTAGGTACCCTTAAAGGGGCTATAGGGTGTACATATATATATATATCTAGAGGCTATGTAAGGATATGTAAGGTATAGGGTTTAAGGTTTCCCAAAATCAGGGTTAGCTCCTTGGGAAGTACTCATAATAAGGATTGTGGTATTTGGGGGTATGTTGGCTTTCCCCGATGCAAGGAAACTACCATGTTCCACAAACCCTTTAGACCCTAACTGCTAACTCCTACACCCCCATCCCAACCCTAACACTATTGTGAACCACTACTATTAAGCCTCAATAGAGCCAACACCCACGGAGCAGAAGCGCGCCCTGCAGGAGTTGGTTTGGCTCGACGATAAGCTTGAGCAAGTGGATCGGACGTCGGCGGCGTGTCCGCAGAGTCTGTAGGAGTGATGTGTCTTTGACGTTGGGGGGGTTGTGGTCTCGGGTTCCGGGTTTAGTGTAGAACCTCCTTCCTCTCTCCTTTCAAGGCACCCTTATTTTCTGTATAGCCAAACTGAGGCCCTCCTAAAAGGGGAGCGCCATCTGCCACTGCTTGGTCATACAGATAAGGCCGGAGTGTAGGGTCTAGGGTGTAAGGATTGAGGTTTAGAGTTTAGCTAGTGTAGTATTGTATGGTATAGTATTAGTATAGCATTAGTATTAGTATTAGTATTCTGTGCACAATTCGTATTCGTATTAGTATTAGTATGGCACCCGCCCCCTACCAACTATGTTTCGCAGATTGTGCATGTTGAAACAACGTATCAAGCTCAGGCAATCCTGGCTTTCGTGGAATTCCCAAAGCTTTTGCACTTTCGTAATGAGTGGGGATGACGTGAAGGCGGAGGGTGAGGCGTATGGGGTGGGTAGTTGGGTGGGGGCATAGTGACGTCAATTCGAAGAGAGCACATGCTAAAACTACATGCATGCACAGTATTCTTGATGATTTTGCGTGGGTGAACCACGACCCTGTGAAGCACGTTCCACCACAACCCTCTTCCTCCTAGGCTGTTGACAGCCCACCCCTGAAATTCAAGGGAGCATAGTTGATAGGCAGGACCCCCTTCCCCCCGCCAACCCCCCAACCCCAAATCATACATGTTCAAGGTGTTTTGAGATTTGTCGATCTGCGTTCTTAGGGTTGGGGTTTCCGGGACGAGGTCTTAGGGCACGAAATCTGGAGTTTAGGATTACCTGGACCTCCAAGGTATGTAGAATAACGGCCTGTTGAGATGATTTTAAAGGTTTTGGTCCATTATTTCACCTACTTTTTGGAGTCCAGGTAGCAGTCCCCCTTAAGTAGATAGAATGTGGCTTTGGGTATATATTAATAAGGTCTCCAAAAACCCCATATTCTATCTACTGTAAGGGGGACTATATGTCATTGCGTGCTGCTTGCCAAGTTCGCTCAAAGCTTGTACAAACACCTGGTGGCGGGCAAGGATCCCCGTAATGGTTTAAAGTTTGTGGCATGCCTGAAGGGTCCCAGGACCCAAATAATAGGGTTTTAGGGCCCAAATCTTGTAATATTAGTAAAAAGCAGCCCAGAAGGCTATTATTCTACATACTTTTGGGGTTCGGGTTCGGGTAGTACACACACAATCCCAAACTACATTGACAGCCTTCAAAGCGAGCTGCTAGCACATGATGCCTGGTGCTGGAACCCTAAGGACCCAATTAACCAAACATTGAGGTGTGAGGCTTTAGGTCCCAAATACTGTAGCCTGCATGGTTTATGATGCCTAAAACCTTAATCTTTGGATGCTTGAACCCTCTGAAACTTTGAGCCTACAAATGGTACCTAAGTTGGACCCCAAAGTCTATGAATGGGGTTGAGGGTTAATGGGTTTTCCTACATTGGCTTATTTAGGCCCCTAGGGATAGTAATCTCTGGCAAGCCGGTCACTGCAGGAGTCTGGCAAGCTGAAGCAGCGATTATGACCCGTACGCTCTTGGGACGATATACATGGAGCTTATAGCTTCTGAGTACCAGCACCGGCCCCCTAGACCTAAACCCCTAAACCCTGAACTCCAATCCCTGACCCCAAACACCTCACCCCAAACCCTACACTTTTGTTGCTTGATAAAACGTAGATTTAAAAGAGCCTCCCAATCTGTTGAGTTGACATGATGCCGGAAGTCCAATATGCACAGTGATTCTACCCGCTGATAAAATCTAGCTGGGAATTTCTCAAAATTGGGCTTTCGGGGCCCCCAGGAATGTGTGTGTATAGAGAGATCTATGTACCCATTTATATCTGTATATATATATATACATAGGGCTGGCATAACAAGATTATAGGGGGTACTGATTTTCCAGTGGGATCAGTCAGTTCTGAAAGCTTATAAAGCCTAAACCCCAAACACCAGCCAAAGTAGCAAGATGTCCTGGTGACACTCTGCATGTAAAGCCCAGAACCTTACATCCTCATGTAGATCAACGCGAAACCTCCTAGAGTTCAGGGTTTAGGGCTTCTTGGTTTGCGGTTAGGGTCTATAGGGCTTAAACTCTAAACCCTAAACCGTTTAGGGTAGCTACACCCTCAAACACCTCTCCCTCACCCATTCGGCAAGAAGTTGCTGTCGGCCTGAAGACACCCGACCTGAACCTCGTACCATTGAAATCCTCGAACTAATAGCTCCTAAACCCAATCCTTGGAACCTGTACAGAAAAGGCTCGGATTTGGGGCTTAGGATGAAGGCCTTAGGGTTCAGGGTTTAGTCTAGTTGCAATCACGACTTTAGCAGGCAGGGCTTAGGACTACTATCTGAACCCTCCAATGGCTTGTAAAGCATCATTCATTTTCTGGACTTGGGGGTGTTATTATTACTTCAGCAATAGTTTAGGGTCCAACTGACGATAATCTACACCCAGCCGCTGCACACAGAATCCTACTCCCTAAACTAAAACCCTGAACGGTGGCAGGGAGATGCGGTGGGCTTGAAAAAGCTGTCTCAAAAGTTGAGGGCCTGTTCCCAGCCGGTTGTGGCAGCTTGACATCGTGATTGTGGGCTTGAGTGGGGTTAGGGTTCAGAGGTATACGCTCAACTACCTACAGGGTCTACTGGGTTGCTGTTAAGGGACTTAAATTAAGTTACCATCGTATGGGTATATCGGTATACCGTATCCCTCCACCCTAAACGCAAAACCCTAAACCCTATGGCAGGTTAATTTAGGTTTCTTAACCGCAGCCCGCAGTCACCGGGGTTTGGGGTTTGGGTCAAGTTTTGGGAGTTTAGGGGTCTAGGGTTTAGTTTTTGGTTCTGGGTGGATCACTGCGTGTAGGTTTTAGGGGGTTAAGGGCTAAGTTTTAGGGTTTGGGAGTTTGGGGTTCAATGAGTTCTGCACCACCGGCGAAATTCCTTAATTAACGCTGAAGTATCCTGATTAAGGGGAACGCGAGGGGCGGGCAGGCAGCTGGTCTAGAGGGGTGTAGTAGGGGAACTAGATATTTAACTATCTACACAGAAATGAACATCTTACCAAAACTTATACCAAGCTGCCCGGCCCAAAAGGTAGTACATTGGAGGGTCCAGGTTTAGGGTATATCGAATTAATTTGTAGGGGTATGAATTTCAGTTGGGGAGTAGGCTCCAGTTCCAGGGTTTTCTTTTCCAGATTCAGCTACTCGGGGTTCACCCTAAACCCATCATTGGGGCCTGAGTTAGGGGATTTGGGCTGAGGGTTTATCATGTTTGGGTTTCCGAAGCAGCAGGCCCTAAACCCTAAGCATAACACCTTAAGCCCTAAACTTGAATTTAAAATCCTGAGCCCTAAGCCCATGTAGCTTTCGTGCATGAGCGCACCGGGTTCCTGGATACTGTCAACGGGCAGTCAAAGCCCAAGCTATGACCTGATGATATCCCAAAGTCTCGGACCCTTCCTAGCCTAGACAATAGTCGGTTCTTTTAGCATGCTTGCCGAGTGTGGTGCCGTATAGCCAGCCTGTCAGAACTTGGTATCTCGAAGCCGAAGCCCTAAACTCTAAACCGTGAACGCCGACCCGGTTCTTGGGCCCCTCATGGATGTTGAGCTTGCGTGTTTACCATGATCCCAATGCTTCTGGGGCTTGGGATCAGGGTTTGCCTAGCCCCCCATGTACCGGCTGTAGAGCCCAACCACCCGAAGATAGAACCTACATCGACCCCTTTTAAGGGTACTTGGGGGGTCCTAGTACGGTCGAGGGTGTAATTAGGGTCGAGGGCTTCATATCTTTTTATCCAGCATTTTCTTGTCGTAAGGCTGTCAACTGAGTCGCCACAGTCGTCCGAGGGCTTTTAAGGCCATTTTTTGGAGACATGATGGCTCAGGGGTTTATAGGCTTTATTGGGGTTTAGGGTTTTTAGCTTATCGGGTTCATTGGGTTTACAACGTTTATGCAGTGGGTAGGGCTTAGGGTGTGTGGATTTCAGGTGTATATGGTTTGAAGGGTTCATAGACTTCATGGGGCTTATAGGGGGCCGGGTTGATAGGCTTAGGGCTTAAGCTTTGGGCTTGTTTTTTTTCTTTTTTACGGTTTAGTGTATAAGGCTAGGTTTAAGCTATAGGCTTTAAAGACAACAAGATGGTAATCATCAGGGACCGAGAAAGCATGCAGGTCTATAGGAACTCTGGTAGCTGGTATAGTTGTAGACTAAACCCTCAAGCCTATAAACCTTACAGACACTGCAAGGTCTATAAAGGCTAAACCCTAAACCCTATAAGTCCTGAACCCTAAAGCCTACACACCCTATAAACCCCCACTTATACTGAAGACCATCCTAAACCCTAAGCCCTAAACCCTCAAACTTATAATCCTAAATCCCTTACCCCTAAACCCCTAAACCCTAAACCCCTGAGCCCCAAATCAGGTGAAGCCCCGGCACGGCTCGAACTCCAAGCACGTCTTCCTCTGGCCGAAGCCGCAGGCCGCTAAACCAGGTCCAGTTTAGGGGGTCTAGGAGTCTAGGACTGAGGGCTTATTGGTTTAGGGTTTAGGGTTTAGGGTTTAGGCGGTTTAGGGTTTCCCTAAACCCCCAAAGTAAGTAAACTAATGGCCCAAAAAAAAAAACGCCCACAAGGCAATTATGCTACATACGTTTGGAACTCAGGTAGGGTTTAGGGCTGTGAGATCCCTACGAGCCCTTATAAGCCTTAATTGGGGTGGAAGGATGCAGGCCCCTGGATGAAGATCTATGTTTAGGGTTTCGGGCTTTGGATTTAGGGTTAGGGCTCAGGGCTTAGGCTTTTGGGTTTAGGATTCAGGGTTTAGGGTTTAATGATGAGCGGCTCAGGGTTTTGGGATCCTGGTTTACGGATTTGGAGTTAAGAGCTTTGGTCTGGGGGACTGGGGTTTAGGGTTTAGGGGCATTGTAAGGAAAGGCATAGCTTTGGGAAGCAAAGTGTTGAGGTTTAGGGCTTGGGATTTCTCAAGCTTATCCCGAAACCGCTACACCTGGAATTCTAAACTCTAACTCCAAGCTCGAACCCGTCCCCCTACGCCTTAACCCGGAAACCTGCGTATGGGGTTTGAAAAACGGCACCATGTATTCTGCCTCTAGGGGTACCCCACGAGGTGATCCATAGTATTTCAGAAGCCGCGCCTTAAAGCCACCACATACGATCCGAAGTTACAATCCCCACTTATTGCATCCAAACCCACTTTCCATTTTATGATTCATCTTCTTGTCTACCTGTTTGTACACTGCTATACCGCCTGATTGTTGAAACTCCCCTTCTCAAGCCTAAGCCTCCAGACTTATCAATTATCCTGGAGGGTCCATGTAGATACATAGTGTATACTGAGGGCCCAAAGTGGTTATGTCCAGGCCCAAGCATATATTGTATAGCTACATGGACCCTTTGGGTAAAGGGATCCCCGAACAGGGATCCCCGATTTTTGGAGCCCGCCCCATATTGCCATGCCCTTCCTTTTGAAGGAGGTTGACGCGACAGCGCTGGAGGACCAAACACATATATATCGAGTTCGGTATTGAAAGTTCAGGATTCAGGGAGATTTAAACTCTAAGGATTTAGGGTATGGGCGTTTGAGCTGTTGGTTTTGGCACGTAGGGTTGGGTCTGTGGCATTTGTTGGTTCAGGTCATGGGGTTCAGCCTTTGCATGTTCACATGCTTCTCGGACATCGGCAACTGCTTCAGGTACTCATAACGGATAAGTTCTACCCGAACCCGCTCAACTACCCCCGCACGGTTGTTTCTTTGATCAGGCTTGTTTCGGTTTGTGTGAGGCTGAATAAGGGGAAGCCTTAGGGGGCAGTATAGGGTGTGGTTCGAAGAGCTCATGCCTGCAGTGTCTTCATGGTTTGAGGCCTCCCTTGTGAGTTATAGGGTTGAGGGTCCCTAAGCAGTAAACCCCCTAAGAGATATGTCAGGAAGAGCCCTGCTTTAGAAATATCCTTCTCGCTGCAGCACAGGTTGGAAGGATTATGATCCCAACTATCTCCTGAGGATACTGGGTTTAGGGTTTAGGGGTTAGGGTTTATGGTCTAGGGGTTTAGGGGTTTAGGGGTTTAGGGGTTTAGGGCTTAGGGTTTAGGTGATCCTATTTGGAGACATCCCCTTTGTGGATGCCAGTCTATTCATGCTTACAAACTTATATCCATGTGGATTTGCGTGTAGTTTCCCAGTACTGTTGCAGCCTTGAAGCGTTCAGGGTTCAGGGATTTATTTCTCATAGTGCCCCTGCAGACACGCACGCAGCACCAAAACCGTCTGTAAAAAAGAGAGTTTTCTTTCGAATGGTCTGCATGGGTTTCAATCTGCGTGTGGTAAGCACAAAGCTAGAGGAGCCCTAAACCCTAAACCCGGAGGCTCACTAAAAGTCACTCAGCCCAAATACGGGTAGGGCCTGAAGTTCTGAGGCCGCGGGTTGACATCCAGGGCCAGGGTAAATTTATGGGTTCAATTAGTACCCCCCTCTATACTACCCCCCCCTAGGTTCCCTCCTTAATTAAGGTTATTTAGGGATAATTAGGCTTAATTAAGGTTAACTAAGGGGGAACCTAGAGGGGGATAGTATAGAGGGGGGTACCCATGATAAATGGGTTGAGGGTTTAGGGTTTTGAGCAATTCCTTGCTCTTCCCCTACTCTGTTGCTATGTTGGGCCGGGTCCTTGTATTGCCTAGGTTTACTTACCTATGAACCCGAAGGAACAAATCCCTGAACCTTTTTTTTCAAACCTAACTCCAGGAGAGTGTCCTGAAGGCATCAGAGTCTCATGACAAGTCCTGGGGCAAGGAGCCGATCAGCAACTAGTCTGGGTTGCTGTGAAGGAACTTAATTTAAGTTACTATATTGGGGAACACCCTATTATTTACTATATGTACCCATTATGGTAACTTAATTTAAGTTCCTTAACAGCAACCCAGTAGTAGGGTTTCCTAGTCCTAGATACGCGGCTGAGAAGTTCAGGGTTAGGGCGGTGGGTTCCATAGCTGCGCTCCTCCATTGCAAGACTTCCTTTTGTATAGGGACTTGTCGTGTTCCTGTTTTGAGGGTTGCATATTTTGAGCACATTGTTACCGGGTTTCGGGTTCAGTTTGATAAGCGGAGTTTCTCAAAGCAGTCCCATCTGTCCTTGCTCAGGGACTCCCTCTTTCCTGTTGTTCCCTCCTGTGTTGAGGCCACACTATCGCCAGCGTCAAAAGGGGCTCGCATGCATACGCCCTTCGAACCGACCATCAGGGCTTTGCTATCCGACTTTCTCAATCAGAGCCTGCTCTTCTCCTTGATCCGAACCATGATCCCTACATAGAACCTTTTGCCCTAACCCATGGGTTTAGGATTTAGGGTTTAGGGGTTAGGCAGTTTAGGGTTTAGGGTTTGGGTCCCTTATTCCCTACAAAGCCGCAGGGAAGATAATGGCACGTCAAGTTCTGCAGCATCTTGTCAATCGGCAAAAGGAGTCCTGGAACCAGAATGCCGTGCCAAAAGGCCTCCTGGATTTGGGCCCTTTTGGGGTTTAGGCTGTGGGGTTTTAGGGTCTGGGGTTTTTGGGTTTTAGAGTTTTAGGGCCCTAAGCCCTGAAGCCTGAAGTCAGAGTTCCGCTGAAGTAGATAGAACATGGAATTGCCCAAGATCATAATACGATCCCCATATATCCAATATTCTATCTAACCAAAAGGGGCTTGCAAACTTTAAGAATGTTGTAAACCTTAAACCCTAAAAACTTCTGCTCTTAGCCAAAATTCATGGACTGCCAGTACCAGCTCAGGGGGCTAACCCCTTTACTGAGTACCTGGGGATTTGAGTGTGGTAGGAGTTGTAGTACAGGTTTTGAGGACGTGGACGTATATGATTCGCGGAAGTATATGATTCTTGGGTACTGGGACCCTAAACCCTAACTCATACTAGCAAACGGTAAAGGGACACCTAGCAAACCAGATAACCCTGAACCCCAAGAGTAAAACCAGAAACCACGTAACCCTAAACACTTAAGCCAAAAAGCTGTCCTTTGAAACCTGAACCCCAGAACCAGATGAGGCGTGTTGCTGCAGCCGATGTATGCGTCTTTGGCTGAGTTCCTGCACGGCGCTCAAGGCTTGGGAATCAGGTTGCCTGCCATCTTGCTCATGTTCAATGGAGAGTGCATCACTATAAGCATCTCTATATGGTGGTTTCCTAAATTTAGGGGCGGTCCCTATAATAAGGATTACCGTATTTTGGGGGTCTATATTTGGGTTCCCCCTATATGGGAAACTATCATATCGTTTTCATATTAGAGTCCTTCCAGTCACTCCCCGACTCCCTCTCAGGCACTGCTGTCATTGTTGCGGGGGAACGCCCAAGATTGGATGCCCCTCTGAACCAAAACTTGCGTGCAGTTAGCAGGGAAGAAAAGAGTGGGGTACAGGGACTACTACAGGAAATCAAACGGAAGATTCCCCTAAGGGTCCAAGGACCCAAATAACAAGGGTTTTAAGGCCCAATTAATTACTGTAATATTAATGGTATTTGGGCCCTGAAACCACATTATTAGGCTCCTTGGACCCTTAGGGTTTTGTAAGGTGACATTCCTCCGTTCGCTCCGAATCACCAGAAGCCTAAAGTGGCTTCGTTGTTCTTGTCCATTCCCGACTAGCCACCAGAACCTTCAACCCCGAACCCTAAACCCTATAGTATCTCCGATGTGCTTGCTCATTTCTTGCGGAGTTTTGTTGCTTATCACTTATAGCCCCCACACTTGCATGAGCTATAGGCGGTTATATATAGGATTATATAGGGGAGTATTATAGTGATCATGGGGGTCATTCGGAGTTTAGACTATAGCTCACATGGAAGTCCAGAGCGGAAACTTCTGTCCTTTGAAGAAAGATTCCAGCTTCCATGTTTGTTTGGGGGAGGCCATTTATCCCAAACGAAGTTCACAGTGCCTTGCCCTACGCGTCTTAGGATCTAGGGTTTAGGGTGCCTCCCTGTAGCCTGTAGGTGGAGAGGCACAAGCAGATCATCACGCCTTCGAGCGCGGTGTTTGTCCAAAGTACCTGAGGCCAAACCGGGTAATTTGAGGTGTTGGGTTTGGGGATCTAGGGTCTCTAGGCCTTCAAGCCTAGACTTGGGGATGCTACTTAGGGTTAGGGGTTTAGGGCTTTTAGATAAATTTACAAGCATGATGTGTTCTCAGAGACCCCAGAGATTTGGACTTTAAATTTCAAGGGCAACTCTCTGAAAGAAGGGATCTGGAGAACCTCCTGACTGGGAACCGCAGGGGGGTCTAAACTCCTAGTATCCCCCTATCCCCTACCGCAATCCCCTATATAATCCCTTATAGAAACCCTTTAAGATGGAGTTTAGATTATGGCTCATGTGCAGACTTTCAGGCTTGTGCAAGCAGATCACTTTGAAGTAGAGCCCTAGTCGAAATGTACAGAATCCCACTATCAGACTCCAAGAACAAGCGGTAAACTTGGAGAAGCAAACCCTGACGGTCCAAGGACCTAAATAATAGGGCTTTAGGGCCCAAATTCCATTGGTGTTATAGTTTTTGGGCCCTAAAACCCTATTATTTGGGTCCTTGGACCCTCAGGGAAACAACTACTGCTTATCACAGCGCCTTGAAAGGTGCTCGGTATGATATCCTATCATGTCAAGCTTCCATGTTGCTCATGTCAGGCACTGCATCACTATGGACACCTAACACCCAAGGAGGTCCCTAGGGAGAATGGAAAAGAACATGGAAATTACTAAAGTATATTAAGGGTCCCTGTAAGAGGGTTATATAGGAATAATAGAAAAGAAAATGGAAACTACTATATAGTATGTTGGGACTATATAGGGATAATGGCAAAGAACATGGAACCTATTATTGTAAAGGAAGTGCCTAAACAAAATCGGTGTGTCCGGTGCTGGGCCTTATTAGAGTCATGTCCCCCTTCACTGTAAAACCACAAGCCATCAACATCGCAGTTTAGACGGATTATTGAAGGTCTACTGACAGCTTCTTTCTCACGACCATGCGCTGAACGTCGTGATATTGAGCACGGCCGCGCCATGCACAGCAAATTATCAACAATGACATGATCTAGGAAACCTAATGTAGACCATGATTGATAAACCCACTCCTTTTCAAGGGCCTGAATATTGGGATCCCTACCATAACCCCTATTAAGTGGAGGGGGGTTATTAATCAGGGGTCTGTGTTATCAGCAATGACATGATCTAGGAAACCTCACCTTTCAGATGGTGACGTCATGCCCTAAGGGTTAAGGTGCCAAAAATCATGTACGTGCCCAAAACCTGTACTACAAAAGCTAGTACCCAAATCCCAGGTACCCAATTCTTGGGTAGAAGGACCTTCGCCCTAAACCTTATATCTATCCCTGTGAACCCTAAGCCGTATACTCTGAACCCTTAAGCCCTAAACCCTTAACGTTAAACCCTAGGCCTACTAGGCTCCAATTCCTCCACTCAAGCAGCAGCAGGTTGGAAAATACCTTTTTTATCCCCCACAGCCCCATAAAGCCACTACAGATCCATGAAATCGTTGGTTTTCTCAAGTAATTCCCGAAAACCCGAAACCCCAACTCCCAGGCCTTAAAACCCATGTTCTAAAACCTCAACCCCCCAAAGAAACTGCTGGGAGGCCCCTGGAGCTCAAGGTACAAGTTCTCTTCGGTGAAGTTGTGGGTGCACAGCTGCACCTCGGTTTTGGCATCGGGGGCCATAGTCTAAACTGGGTTTAGGGTTTAGGGGTTAGGGGTTATATAGGGGATTATATAGGGAGCTGGTATAGGGGTTACTAAGGGTGGATGCTAGGAGTTTAGGCCATGGTTCATCTGGGCTTAGAATTTCGCACTTCAGGGTTTGGGGTTGAGGGTTTGGGGTTGAGGGTTTGGGGGAGAGGGTTTAGGGGTTTAGGGTTTAGGGTGTTGGGGTTGGTGTTTAAGTCTGATTTAATCTAGGATTTGGGGTTCTGGATTTATGGTTTAAGGTTTTAGGGTCCAGGGTATTGGGTTTTGGGATTTGTGGTCTTGTGCTTAAGGTTTTGGATCTAGGGTCCTAAGCCCTAAGCCCTAAGCCCTGACCCTAATCTTATGCCCTGAGCCCTAAACCCTATAATCCCTAAACCCTAAACCCTTTTGGGATTTTGAGTTCTGGGTGCAGGTTGGAGCTGCGATTTTGCCTAAACCCTATATTATAACCCATTATAGTGGTTTCCATTTTCTTTTCCATTATCCCCATATAACCCCAACATAACCCTAACATTGCCCCAATGCCTACCTATATCCCCGCAAGGCCAACATAGACTTCCTTCAGGCTCTGGAGCCGATTGCATTTTCCTTACCTGGCCACGGATTGCAGCTAATGATCTCTTCGTCGTCTCACATATCCCAAACAGCAGCTTCCTAAACCCACAAAAGGAGGTTTAGGGTTTAGGGTTTTGGTCAGAATACAGCCATGAGGGCCATTTCTCTACATAATTTTGGGGTTGGTTTTTCAAGAGTGCAACATTTCAAGAACCGCCGCCCCCGCCTCCTGTTACCTGCTAGGCCCCCCCGCCCTTCCCTGTTAAGGCTGTGATGTGTCCTTTTCCTTGGGCCTGCAGTGGGAAGCATTGCACCAGGTATATACGCAGTAGTTGAGGCCCATCAAAATCAACCCCGAAAGCTTTTGCAGACATTTTATCCTCTAGAACCCAGTAACCCCAAAAGGATAAATCCCAACCCCAAATCTTAAGCCCCAACAGACGCTATGCCCTAGAACCTCAGGAATACCCATCCGCAGTATCTCTGGGTGGCTAGAGATGGCAGTCTCCACCTTTGGGATCAGACTGCTGTGGCTCGCACAAAGAGGTTTCTTTGGGGTGTAGGGTTTCGGTCATACACAAGGTCTTCTGTAAGGCTTGAAAATCAACTGCCAATATCATTTGGAGCTTTATTAGGGGTACCCTTTACCATAAATGTAATGTACAAGGAATCTAGCACCATACTGG